GCTTGAGTTTGCAATTCAGTCTTTAGATTTTTTAACGAATAATAATATATGTAATGCTTGAGTTTGCAATTCAGTCTTTAGATTTTTTAACGAATAATAATATCTACACTAAATGGATGAGGTAGTGGGCTAAATCTTACAATGGAATTGCCATAATAATGTGGTTTAACTAACTTCGTCTTTGGCGATAATCGAACCTAAGACCTCTCATTTACAAGTGAAGAGGAACACTATTAGACCGTAGTACTATCGTTACTGAATTTTATTGTATCTCTAACTTGTTTTATCTTTATTTTATCTTTGCTGGATTGTGATTGAATTTTGACCATAAATTAGTAAGAGGAAGTGTATATATGATGAACTTTATCAATAAATTACTAGCCTTCCTATTGATTTGTTATAATTAATTTGGAATGGTTGGTTTAGGGGCCAATTGAGAAAGAAAAAATTCAAGTTAAAAGAGATATAGCCTATGACTTTGTGGAGCTCAATATGGATCCTTGGCCAGATGTAAGCCACTTCATTTTCTGTTTTTCAATCCGCCACATGTGTTTTCATCGTTTTGTTTAAAACAAAAGTCCAGTTCCAGCAAAAATATTAACCTCTCTAACACTTTGCACATGAATGAATTTGGCCAAACTAGAGTTACTATATTGTATGAATCAGGATCCCAATATATCGTATAAATTGAAATGTTCTCTAAGGAAGAAGAATTGAAATGTGATGAAGAAGTTGTTAAATTAAAAACTAAACATTGGGATGCATGTAAACAGTTAACCAAATTTTAACGTCGGGACGTATGTATCATGTAGTGTCAAATTTTTATGTCACGTTTTTAATGAATTCTTTATGAAAATAAGTTCAGCAAGAACCTTTTGTGCCTCTATTCTTTCTATTTTTGTACAAAGGGAGGTATTTAATATGTCATAGAATGCTTATGTAGAGAACCATGCATGTTCAACCTGAATAGAAAATTTTAATTGATTTTAGTTTCATCTTTTGTTTCATTTTTCTTTTTATTTATTAGTATTTAACTCTTCTTCTTATTCCTCCTTTGAACCTTTTAATTTTTTTTAAATTATTCAGATGAATTTGACACATCCTAATCCGGAATGTCCACGTGTCCATACAAGTTGTGTTGTGCACTTTGGTTTATTTATTTAAAGTTTAAATTTATTCTTACTTTTACACATCAACCATGCTTTATTTTAGGTGACGAAGCCAGCATAGTTAGATTCGAGTGTCCACGCGGATCGATATTCCGGGCCAGGGTACATCAAAATTTGTAATTAAATTTTGTTGGATTTTATTATTTAATTTAATCTGAAATTTTGGTAAAATATGCAGCTCGATTTGTCTGCCATTAAATTGCTATTTGTAGTTTTCATACGCTTTTTTACAAGACTATGGATCAAATCTTTGTATATAAATGGTATGTAATACACAAGAAGTATTATCCTTTATAAATAGTACTATATACAAAATCTTCATATGGTTTTCTATCTTGCAGCATCAGCATTTTTTGCTTGTACGGGTCTAATTTCCAAATCAGCAATTTAATGGCAGACTAAATGATTTTTGTTACGGAAGAACTTCAAGAATGCTATAGAAAATATAAATAATCCAACATACAATGATGTTTGTCTGTATAATTGACCCCCACCATGGCGTTTGAGTGTCAAAGGAAGTCCACCCCTATGAGGCCCTCAATATTTGTAATTTGTCCAGTCATTTTAACCTTTGGGACATACGACAGTCAAAAATTAAAGTCACACACCAAACGATGACTAGAAGGCCAGAAAGAAGACCCCATGCATGCAAGTTGGATGACCACAAAACCTGAACGCGGGTGTGAAGAGGTAAACGAAGAGAATTGTTCCCCAGTCACGCGTGCAAAGATTGGATTTTAATGGAATATAAGATTTACACAAAAGTATGTTTCCCTTTCTTAGATTTATGTCCCTTTACTGCCCTACATGACCGAGTCTTTGTTGGTACTTGACATTTTGTTTACTCTTTATAATGATATATGATATTGGAAAAGAATGAGTCCATGGTGGAAAATTAGGCTTTAAGTATTAAATACTAGCAAAGAACACATATTTTGTGTGTATGAACAACCGTCCATCTCCTTTCACATTCTCCTCAAGCGCAACCGCTTCAGTTCATTTAAACTATCCAAAAAGCATCATGATTTCACTTACCTGTATAAAAAAATGATGGTGAGACAATTTCTCTTAATAAATCTTATGTAAATATTTTGATACAAAATTACTATTTTGCCCTTCTTATGTAAATAGTGTATCAAAGGGTGAGGGCAAAATAGGAAAAAAGGGAGCAAAAAGTTCAAAAGGTACAAAATTACTATTTTGCCCTGCTCATGTCAATATTGTGTATTCAAAAGTGAGGGCAAAATTGAAAAAAAAAAAAAAAAGGGGCAAAAAGTTGACAAGCCCTCTTCTCTTAATAGAATATATATATATATATATATATATAGTTAATAAAGAATATGAAAAGTTAATACAAATTTTATCAGTTTTATGTTATGCATATCACTTAATTTCTCATTTTATTTAGGTGTTGATGTTTTTATATTGGGCACTCCTCGAAATGTTGCTTGTCTTGAAGCATCTCTAATGGACATATCAAATTATTATTGTCAAAATTTTATTTGATAATTGATGTAACAAATTAAATATTGATGTTTAATCTTCTTTCCTTGAAGTACATGTGTCAAATATTTGTTTTATTAATATGTTTGGCCTCATGGTACATTAACTATTAAGAAATAATTAAAAATGATTTAATTTTCATTCCATTGATTGGTAAAGGAAACCGTGCATTAAAAAATAAATTAAAAGCATTTAGCGCCCAAACCTTATGTTGCCAAAAATGACAACCAAAGGCAATGCAATCGATCCACGTCAGCTTATAACATTTCGCTGTGTTTTTTGTCCGACATGGCGTTGGGCATTCTACATCACATTTCACATATTGATTGAAGATGCTCTTAGATTTTTTTTTCTCATCATGCTTACTTATATATCCTTTGGGAAAAAAAATATGTATATGTTTTTGGTATAATATATTGTGGAGTAAAACAATTCAAAAAAATTGTAAGTGGTGAATTGCTTTGGTAATTAGAGTCTTCCATTCAACCCTCTGCATTTTGGATTCAAATTCTTTTTCAACCTCTTAGCGTAGATTGACATAAAATATTCCTTGTAATAAAAATAAAATAAATAAATTTAAAAACTGCCTGAAAGGATTTTGTTTTAGTGTACTAAAATAAACTGAAAATTATGTCTGGAATGGTGATATGAAATTCTTATTTTTAATTTGAAAGTTGTCTTTCAATTTCTCATATCGAAATTGAAAATCCTTGTTATGATAAAATAAATCAAGAATTATTATCTAACTATTTATAACATCATAATAGACCAACACGATGTTTTTCTATAAAACAATGAAATGCTCATGGTGATAGTCAAATAATTAAAGATTTTATATATAGTTGTTTCTTAAAGAATAAGATCTAACTAGCTCTTTGTACTATTCATCCGAGGGAACTACTCTTATGAAGGGGTTGTATGTATGTGAGCATGTGTTTACATGTATAAGCAAACTTCAAGGGAGGGATCTCAAATTTGTCACAAGAAATTATCAACTTTTTTTTTTTATTTCTAAAAGATGATAAAAACTTACACAGAGGATCCTCGACACATCATACTTTCAAATTTATCAAAAAGTAACTTAAAAACTATTACATGAAGAAAGTTAGCAAATGAAATATAACGGTTGGAGGCCATGTTGGCAAAAAAAATCGTTGAAGGATTTTGTTAATTTATTTTTTTTTTTTTTGCCAATATGCCAAATTAGCAAAAAAAACACTTCAAGAACGTGGCAAAAAAAAAAAAAAAAAAAAAAAAACTCCTTATCTATTCCTTGTTATGCTCTAATAAATTTTCTTAGCTGTATATTTAATTTGATTTTACAAAATAATTTGAATTTTTCTCAAAATTATTTAGTTTTAAAGTGTTTTTCTTTAAATTATGATTTTCATAAAGAGCTTATGTATGGAAAAGCCTACAATGCTACCTCATCAAATGTACACAAAGATGCATCATCTCACCAACAAAACTAGAGTTATAAATTTAATGTTTTCTTATTTATATGCAAAGAAGTTAAGACAACTTTAAATTTTTAATATATATATTGTTTTCATACGACGATGCATTTACATTAAAAAGGGGGAGATTTGAGTTGTCACACAATGACTTAGCCATTATAATTTAATATCAAACTTACCGTTCACGAAAATTAAACTTAAAACATTATGCTTGTAAGTAAAGATAAATAGCGTAAATAAATCTTCAATATATTCATTATTTTTGTAATATTATTTAATTTTGTCTACCACCTTGTGTTGTGTCCACTAGAGATTAGATTTTTTCTTTTCACCAGGGGAGGAGAGGAGAGTGAGTTCAAATTTAAGCAATAGACCCATGGTTACATTATTTAGTGAATAGCTCAAATTTGAGTTCAATGGTACGTATCATCGGTAATATATAGTATTAAAGAAAAATCCAAATAACTCTACTAAAACTCAGGTCACATATTTGCGTCCAGAAAACCACAGATATCAAGATTAACTTCAATTCTACAAATTGCATTTATGATTAAAATTGGCGGTGACCATGCTGGAAACGTTACGTCGTATGGACCACAAACCCACAAAAGAATTGGACCTTTAATTGTTTTCCTTTCTTGATTGAGTTAAACTGAATAGTATAGCTGACTAGTTCAAAGGAGATTTTATTAGATGACTAATCATGTCTACATCAAATAAAAAAATAGCAATTATTTTCTGACCTAAACGCGTGAAAGTTTCCACCAATCCACAGGCCTCCCCATTTTTCCAATCTAACTCGGTAAATATCTCTTTCTCCCCATTATTTTTTATTTTGTACCTCTCCATCTATATAAATAGCTCCCTTAGCAAGCACACAGATATCAAACTAAAATATACACGTACAGAATAACACAAAAAACATGGAGGAGCTGCTACCAGGTTATCGCTTCTATCCAACAGAAGAAGAACTGGTCTCCTTCTATCTGCATAACAAGCTCCAAGGGAAGCGAGAAGATACTTGTCGCGTAATCCCGACTGTAGACATTTACAGAAAAGAGCCTTGGGACCTTCCAAGTACATTCTATCTTCCATTAATCTGTACATTCTTATATATGTTCTACTATGCTCAATTGCATGGCATGCACCAGAGTACTGGATGATTGGATATGTAGTTCAATCCAACACGACATACTAATATAATGGTAGCTAGTGCTTATGTGAGTAAGTTTGTTCTATATATGTTGTAGAGTCATCGGGGGAGTTGTGCCGTGGAGACAAAGAGCAATGGTTTTTCTTTACGCGGAGGCAACAACGAGAAGCTCAAGGAGGGAGGCCCAACAGGACTACTGCCTCTGGGTACTGGAAGGCCACCGGCTCACCTGGCTACGTTTACTCTTCAGATAACAAGGTGATTGGAGTGAAGAAAACCATGGTTTTCTATAAAGGCAAAGCTCCAACTGGAAGAAAAACCAAATGGAAGATGAATGAGTATAGAGCCATTGAAGTAGACAACTCAACTACCAATACACCCAAGGTATGTGCACGATAATTCAATTGACAATACGAACAGTAATGCATTTGCAGCTCAATTAGATAAGACTTAAGAGCATTCGCTTCTGCACTCGAGGTCTGGATTCAAAATTATCAGAACCAATCACATTATTACATTATCATTTTCAAATTTTCTTCACATCACGCTTAATAACATTTTATTCCCTATAGTTGGGGCATGAATTCAGATTGTGTCGAGTGTACGTGGTATCTGGGAGTTCTCGAGCATTTGACAGACGGCCATTGGATCCAGTCGGAGAGGCACAACAAAAATTTAGTGACTCTACAGGAGCAAGTACTTCTTCTTTGAAGACTACAATGATGGAGAAAGCAAGCGCATCAGATGAAACTTATTCACATTCAGGAGAGCTTGGTGATCTCCCGGAGACGTCAGCAGGGATTAATAGTAGTAACTGGGAGATTAATGAAGGTTTTGAAGAACCTCTATGGGAATGGGAACAACTAAATTTTCTCTAATAAGCAGCCCAAAACCAACTTTTAAACGTGCATCAGTTGGATTAGGCATCAAGCTAAGCTATTAGAGGAAGCAAAGCATAGGTATAACTTAATTTAGATGCAGTAAAATGTAAATTTTTTGTGACTACTCCATTGTCAAGTATAAGAGAAGAATGAGAGTGAAATATTAGAAGAAAGTAAACCATTCAAATTCATGTAAAATAAATAGTTAGATAAGTTGAGGCTGATATTTGACTTTGGAGATGACCATCTGTACTTTGTTCCTATTATAATTTTAGTTATAGAGTTAAAAAGCATTGTTCCTTTGTAATCTCTTTTTTTATTAATATATTATCAGTTGGTCAAGAAAAAGAAAGTCTTCGAAATCTGAAAGAAAATGGAAATAATGTCAATAAACAAATCAAATAGAGTTGCGCTGGCACTCCAACTCATTTCGATTTCGTCATTAGGTTACATTTCTAAAGTAATTTCAGAAGAGAATAAAATTGTATTGGAGAAAGTCAAGAAGTGGGTGAGAGATGGGGAGAAGAGACACTTGAATCTTGACCCTTTCAACCATATAGATAAAATGACAGATCATAGTTAGAACACTGAAGAATACTAGCTTATTTTTTTATTTTTTTAAAGGATGCTTAGTAATTAAAAGAAAAAAAAAATCACAGCACATCAGATAACCAAGATAGTTAATCTTTCACACGGACTTGTTAACTCAAAAGAAATAAAAGCGTTCCGTTGTCTGGTTCCTTGCATGGAAAAAAACGTTAGCAAATTACAAATGAACCGCATCCAACCACCAAGACACAGTGCAAAGCATTTTTATGCCAGGAGGATCTGGCCCGCATCCAACCACCAAGACACAGTGTGCAAAGCATTTTTATGCCAGGAGGATCCTTGCTGGATCCTCTTTGTGAAGATCCTGGGAATCTTTCAATTAGGTCCGTTCATCGTACATTGTGCAGTCAGAAATCATTGTAAAATTTTATATTTAAAATTGAATATAAATAGTATCTAACAAAAATTGGCCGCACGATGTATGATGACCAAATGTGATTAAAGGATCCAGTGAGGATCCTCACTCATTTTTATGCTCAAAAGATGTGGAGGTTGATCACAATAACATATGAGCACAAAAAATTGTTATAAATTTGTTGACTCTAAAGACTACTTAGCCTACGTGGCGCGCAAACTTAATAGATAATAAGCTAACTATGTCCTTCAATTGAATGCAAGGTGTGCCAACCCTTCTTAAATTGTCACACCGACCTGCCCAACAAAGGCAAGTCAACACCAACCTGCCCTGAAAAATCTAGAATTCCAATCACTTCACCTACATCACTTAGAAACACGTTCATAGAGAAGTTAATTTTATGGTAGATACTATTTCGAAGTTTTGAAGATTCATTCAAGACTTGTACTTTGTGGATCATATGCTTCTTAGTTATGTTAATAAATGGTTTTTTCGGCCTTATTAAAAAGTAAAAATCTATTTCACTAAAATGGGCCTCCTAAAGAAATCCACAGGGACCTAAACTAGTAATGGGTTATCTAGGTGGCAAGGCCCACAACATTAACTAGAGAGGTTTCAAACTGAGCGTATTGTCTAACTAAAGCGCTCGACCCTGGTCACTTTTTTATCTACACAACTGAGCATTTTTTACCCAAGAAGTAGAAGGCATGCTCAACTATCAACTCTGCACCACATGTCAGTAATCGATACGGAAGAAATCCCGTATTAGGGGGAAATGATCCTCTCCGGATTCCTCCCAACAAAATCTTTCGGATCATGAATTTTGCATGCAAGCCTTGCCTCCAGCACAGCCGCGAAGCTATCACAGCTTCATCTTCTTCCTTGAATAAGTCCACAAAGCCACGATCTCAACCTTGGCTCGAACAGGATCGTGAAGCTATCGATCTTGACTACGATTCTAAAAGCACCGTCGTCTTCTCCACCTTTGCACCCTCTTAACCCCTCATGTTATCAACACCATTGCCGGGGATTCGATGATCATTACTGCCATCGCAACTTCTTCTTATTTCGATGGCGGGAAAACGTTTTCCTGATCGTTCGGATTTCTTTTGGATAACTAAGATTGAAGGATCCTCCGAATCCAGATGGAAGGGATCCGAATAAGATCTTATTCCTATATGGGAAAGGATCATCTCTGGATTCCTCCTAACCGGATCCTTCGAATCCTGAATTTTGCCTGCAAGCCTACCTCTAGCACAGCCGTGAAGCAATCACAGCTTCATCTTTTTCCTCGAACAGGTCCATAAAGCCACGATCTCAACCTTGCCTGGAACAGGACCTTGAAATTATCTATCTTGACTACAATTCTGACAACGTTGTCGTCTCCTCCACCTCTGCACCCTCTCAACCCCTCATGTCGTCAACACCATCACGGGGAATTTGATGCAGAGGATCCGATGGCCATTGTTGCCATCGTAGCTTCTTCCAATTCCGATAGTGACTAAACATTTTTTTGACTGTTCGATTTTCTTTTGGACAACTAAGATTGAAAGGATCCTCCGAATCCAGATGGAAGGGATCAGGAGAAGATCCCATTACCGTATTATGGCCATCACCTATAGCCTACTTACCCACAAGAGGCTTAAAAAATGGAAGACAAATCTTTTAGACTAAGGAGGCATGGCTTATAAGAGTATTCAAGGTATTGCAGTGCAATACATTCAATCTTTGTTCTCTTCGGCCAGGGCATCTAATTCATGAATATTATATCATGTGTGCCGAGTAGAATAAGAGGGTTGGAAAATAATTTATTGATTGCTCGGGTGACCGATGCGGAGATTGAGCATGCTATCTATCAAATGCACCCAACCAAATCACCAGGTCCAGATGGGTTTAATGTTGGGTTCTTTCATCATCATTGGGAAATAGTGGGTGGTGTGGTGCTAGGCATGGTTAAAACTTTCTTTCAAATTGGCTGAATGCTAAAAAAGTTGAATCACACAAATATTGTGCTTATTCCAAAGGTGGACAATCCAAGAAAAATGTCCCAATTTCAACCAATATCCTTATGTAATGTGGTGTACAAGATTATTTCAAAAGTGATGACGAATCAATTAAAGAAAGTAATTCCTAAGGTAATTAGTCTGAATAAGTCGATGTTTATGGCAGTGAGACAAATTTCAGATGATATACCGATGGTTCATGAATTGCTTCACTCTATGAAGCAAGGGAGTGAGGAAGGGATCAATTTCATGGCGTTGAAATTGGATATGGCTAAGGCTTATGATTATGTTGAATGGCTGTTTTTGAATGCTATGTTGCATAAATTGGGATTTGATGAAACTTTTTGTGAGTGGGTGATGGAGTGTGTACAAACTATCTTTTATAGTGTGGTAGTAAAGGGGAAGCTTTGGGGAACATCACACCTTGCAGGGGTTAACCGCCAAGAGGACCCTCTATCGCCGTTTCTGTTTTTAATTTGTGTCGAAGTTCTTTCTACCTTACTACAAAATGAAGAGAAGGTTGGGTGCATTCGGGGCATGACTGTTAGCCATGTTGCCGAGTCTCTTTCTCATGTTTTCTTTGCGAATGACTCGGTGCTATTTTGTCAAGCAACAACAACAAAGGCGTTACATGTTAATGGTGTACTAAAAAAATATGCTAAAGGGTCGAGCCAATTCGTGAATTTGGAGAAAATCTCGACATACTTTAGTTCTTGTTGTCTACAAGCTTTAAGGATTCGGCTAATAGAGGTGTTGGGGATTAAATATCAAGAGAACTTCAACAAATATTTGGGTACCCAAGAGGATTTTGGGGTCTAAAAAAAGAAGGTGTTTGAAGATATATGGAATAGGTTAGAAGAGAGAATTAATGGATGGGCAGAACAGTTTTTATCGGTTTCTGGGAAAGAGGTACTTTTTAAAAGTGTAGCGACTGCTTTGTCTAATTATACTATGTCATGCTTTCAATTACCCATTCAGTTGTCAAGGGAAATTGAACAAGTAATTGCTCGCTTTAGGTGGAGGGACCAGAAAACACAAAAGAGGGTTCATTGGATGGCTTGGAGGAAAGTGGCGAAATGTATGACATTTGGAGGGCTTGGGTTCAAGGAAATTATTGCTTTTAACTTAGCCATGCTAGCGAAGGTTGGGTGGTGTATTATCTGTAATCCGGACTCTCTGTTGGCAAAGGTTCTTTAAGCAAAATATTACCCTTCCTCTTCTTTTTTGGATGCACCAGTGGAAAGAGGAACTTCTTGGGATTGGAAGGGTATTTTGTAGGGAAAAAATATTTTGAAATGAGGCATACGATGGTGGGTTGGAGACGGACGGAGTATTCGAATTCTAAAGGTTACCTATTTCATATACTTTTATCCCTATCTCAAGTTCTACGGAGATGCCACAAAGGGCTGAAGAGCTCGTGGTTCCTGATGGTAAATGGGGAATAGATGTGATTGATCGATGTTTCAATAATGAGGAAGCCTGCATCATGTTAAGTTTACCGTTTAGTCAATTTGGAGGCCCGGATCGTATCATTTGGCACTATACACGGAATGGGATGTACTCGGTCAAATCGGGATATAAGGTGGCTCAAGAGATGAAGTGGAATGGTGAGTTGGGATGAAAAGGTACGGGTCAGTCAAGTGAGGATCATCTTAAAGATCCTATTTGCTTGGCTATGTGGTAGTTGTCGGTTCCTCTGAAGGGTTGCAAAAATATCCTTGCGATTCGATCTAATCTACAATGTCGAGGTGTTCGGTTGGAGACTTGTTGTCCACATTGTGGGGAGGACATGGAGACACAGTACATCTCTTTTTCAAATGTTCGTTTGCTAGAATTTTTGGTTTGGCTCGCCATTACAGCTGGATGTGGTTTCGATGGAGGGTGGGGATTTTTTGGAATGTTGGAAATGGTTGAGTAAGAAATATAGTGACGAGGTGGAGGCGGACAAACTTATGTGGTAGGTGGTGTGTGGTTTGTGGCGTATTTGGAAATGTAGATATAGTGTGGTATTTGAAAAAGAGCATAGTGGAGCCTCGAGTTACTTTGGAGCTTCTGCAGTGACAATGGAGTGAGATTGAGGAATGTGGAATGTGGAGCGGATCAAGTGCAGTTAGATGGACAACAGTGTCGAGTAGGGGGGACGGTTCAGGAGAGGTAGGTGAAGCCTCAATTTCACACAATTAAGGTTAATTGTGATGGAGCTTGGTACACTTAAACGAGGAGGGGTGGATTTGGATGGGTTGCTAGAGATTTTGCAGGGATTTTTCAAGGAGCCGGAGGTGTGGGGAATGTTTTGTGTGAATCTAGCTAGATGGCGGAAGTGGAA